CGCCGACCCGCCTGTGCACCGCCACACCGTCGCTCCGCAAGAAGAAAATTTGAACTTCAAATTTCGAACGGGGCCGTTCTCGCGCTCGCGATTTTCTTTTCCAGGGCCCGTGATGTATTGCCGCCGTCCGCCTGCTGGACCACCATGCCTCCTACACGGACATCCTGAAGCAGAGGTGGGACAATCCCCTCGCGGCCGTGTATAATCTCATGAAACTGGCCGTGGGAGGGCCCCCAGGACGAATTCTCCAAGGACAGGTGGAACGACACCTCCAAAAAAAAAAGAAAACTCGGAGGATTCTTCCTGGGAGCCCAAGGACGCGCTGAGGAGTGTAGAACTACGCCCTATGCTACTGGGACCTCGGCCCTGTAAAGGCTTGAGAGATGGCAAAACAAAAGAAAAAATTATTGCTGGGATCTCTTTGATTTCGTCTTTAATGATTTTATTCTCTTCATCTGAAGGTATCTGGATTCGAGCGTCTGTATTCATCAGGCCCGTCTGATCTGGCCGGTCGGTGCCTTGGCAGGATCTCGTCACCGCCCTCGGATCCCTTGATCTAGCCCGTCGGTGCCTTGGGGGGATCTCGTCACCGCCCTCGGATCCCCTATCCTTGTCGCCTACGGACAGTGGCTCCATCACTCTCCGAATGTGCATGCGAACGAATCTTCCCATAGAACATGGAGAGATACATCACCATACTAATGTTTTTTGTGCATGTGCAAAGAGTAGTGCAGCGAGGCCCAGTGGTTCTCCCCGCACCACTGACCATGTGCACAAAAGACAACGCATACTACGCGGCATGTTCTTCCGCAGATTTTTATTTTTTGTTTATGTTTTTTGTTTTTTCTTTCGGAGATTTTCACAATCCGTGCAACAGTGGGGAGAAGGATCTTTTGACAATCCGTGCAACGGTAAGTAGGAATGAAATGCCAGGGGCCAAGTCCCACTAGCAGCGTTGAGCTACCTCAACGCCCGAATCTGGACGTTTTTGCGGAGATGTGCAGAAATGGTGTTGAGTTTCCTGAACTGCACGTCTCCACAAACACGTCCAGATTCGGGCGTTGAGGTAGCCCAACGCTGCTAGTGGGACATTGCCCCAGGTGCGCACGGCACAACGGTTTTTTACCTTTTTTGAAAGGTGAATTTGTTTTTTATTTTTAATATTTAAATGCATTCAATTTCATTCCAAAATCATTTCATGTTTTTTTTAATATATTTTCAAAAGTTTTCTCGATCTTTCGACAGCATAGGGTTAACATTGTCCCGCTTTTTTTTTTTTTTTTTAAGTCGGCCGACCCGTGCGCATGGCGGTTTTCCACAAGAAACCTACAGTATTTCGCAAGAGAGCACGACGGTTTGTACGAATCGGACCGTATTTCGAATCAGATGCGTTCGGCAAACTCGAGGTGATCAGACCGCCTTTTGGCGAGCGGCCCCGCCTCCTGAGAACACGCGTCGTGGTGAATCCTGCTGCGGGAATGGGCCTCGCCGCGCTGTGAAATGTCGGCGTTTGCAGAGTGGTGCGGCGAGTCCCTACTTCCCGCCTCCTGAGCACTCGCGTCGGGTAGAAAGCATCTGTCATAAGAGGAAGAACGGAGCAACGGACTACAGCAGTGAGAACGCAAGGCGCGGTAATATTGAGGGACGGCTCCCCAAGGCAAACCCACAGTCGAGTGCCATAGTTTTTCGTTGCTTCGTCAACCATCTCCGCAGCTGCGGCTGTTGGTGCCGCTGTTACTGCCGTTGTTCCCTCCGCTATAGCCTCCGCTGCCGCTGTCGCTGTCACTGCCGCTAGAGTTGCCGCGGTTGCTGCCGCTGCTGCTGCTGCTGCTGCCGCTGTGACTTGGAGTTTCTCCCTTTTCCCGTGTTCGCTGTCAGTTCAAGAGAGAGAGTGGAGGTGGAGAGTTGAGAGGTGTGCATCTTAGACGTCCTGTCCTTATTCGTCTCTTCGGTAGGTATCAGATATGGCGGCTGCTGGGTCCGTCACATTCACTAGTTTGGCTTTTCTCCTTCTCCTCTCTCCTCTCTTCGTTAGCGCACAAGTAGACACGAGTGCAGGTGACGATCTCGTTGGTGCCATCATCAATCACTGCTGTCTCAAAAAATTCTACTACGCCTTGCAGATCTCTCGCATCGAGCTTCGTCTGCGTGACAGCGCCAATCGGGGTCCCATCACCGTGTTCGCTCCGACCGATGATAGCATCACGAAGCTGGATCCCGAGCTGTGGACGTGCGTTACCACAGGCCAAGGACCGCTTGACATTCTGAGTCAGATTACGCTGTACCACTTCGTGACTGATGGGAACTTCACCGCTGCGGAGGTGGCGACGAAGAGGCACCTGACCTCCGCCTCCGGCATGCCCCTTGGTGTCAAGGTCGTCAATGGGAACGTCATGCTCGAAGACTACGCGCCAATCACCGAACCGAACGCCTTGAGGACGTCTAATGCTACTGTGCACCTCATCGGTGAACTTCTTGTGCCAGAGACGATTGTCAGTACCATCGAGAACCTGTGCTTCGCTGGTCCTGCATCAGCACCCGCCCCTTCGAAGTAAGCGTTTGTTTTATAGCGATGGGTAAGTAGTGACTCCCACTGACTGCTGCTGGGGGCACTTTTTTTTATTTTTTTATTTTTTTTTAACTGATCAGAACAGATACTATACTTGATCTTAGCCAAAAGGCCGAGAAAGGTATGACTGCTGCTGGCGGCGACACTGTTTTCCTTATCTCCTTTTTTTCGTTTTTTTGGACTGAACTACCCCCGTTGATGCTGGTGGTTCTGATAGATTGCTGATGGGGGCGCCAATGTTTTGCTATCTCTGGGGTCAGTAATCACTGCTGTGGGGGGCGACAGTGTTTCGCTACATCTCTGAGGAGGGTGATGGATAGAAGAATGGGATTAGTAGATAACTTTGGCTTGTCAATGGATTGGAAGATAGCAGTGGAGTTAGTGAGATGTTGTGTAGTTTACCATAGATATAAGGATCCTCGGCGGTACTATCGAGAGCCTGCGCTTCGCTGAATTCTACAGCAGCATCTCATCCGGGAACTGGTATGTAAGCTCGTCGTTATAACGATGGGTGAGTCGTCACGATCACGACTGACGGATGCATCACTGTTTTGCTATCACGAAGGTGGGTGGGCTGTGTTTCGCCGGACCTGCATCAGCATCTCTTTCCGCAAATGGTATGTGAGCTCGTTATAACGATGGGTGCGTCGTCGCTACTGACGGATGGAACACTGTTTTGCTATCACGGAGGTGAAACTATATGAGTAAGGTGAGCTAGCGAGGTGAAACTATATGAGTAAGCTGAGCGATGGGTAAGTAGTATAGGATTTAACTTGTTTGGGTTGGAAACTATATGAGTAAGCTGAGCTAGCGAGGTGAAAAAAAAAGAGGATTATGGGCATGATCCTCGGTAGTGGCAGGATCCTCGGTCCTCGGTCCCATTGAAGATTCAAAAACTTGTGTCACTACTGACGGATGCAACACTGTTTGGCTATCACGGAGGTGGGTGGGCTGTTAGTATAGGATTTAATGACTTGTTTGGGTGCGAGGTCGAAACTATACGAGTAAGCTGAGCTAGCGAGGTGAAAAAAGGACTATGGGCATGATCCTCGGTAGTGGCAAGATCCTTGGTCCAATCGAGATTCAAAAAACTCGGTAGTGGCAAGATCCGCGGTCCCATCGAGATTCAAAAACTTGTGCTTTGCTGCAGCAGCATCAGCATCGCTTCCGACATGGTGACCTGGAATGTAATGATTGGTAGGCACTGCTGGCGGAGGCTGCACGGTTTTTTATCACGAGTTGGAGCCTCGGTAGTGGCTCGATTGTTAGTACCATCAAGAATCTGTGCTTCGCTGGACGTGCATCTGCGGCATCACTTTTGACACGGTGATCTGGTATGTCATTGGTGAGTGGTCACAGCTGCTGTCACGGGTTGGTTGGCGGAGGGTAGAATAGGATTGGCAGTAATGTACGGGAAGACAAGGATCGCTTCGATTGGGTTGAAAGATGCGAGTTGAGACCCTCCGTACCGGCGGGAGCCTGTGCTTCGCATCACTTTTGACACGGTGACCTGGTATGTCATTGGTGAGTGGTCACAGCTGCCGTCACGGGTTGGTTGGCGGATGGTAGAATAGGATTGCTAGAAATGTACGGGAAGACAAGGATCGGCTCGATTGGGTTGAAAGATGCGAGTTGAGACCCTCAGTACCGTCGGGAGCCTGTGCTTCGCTGGGCGTGCATGGGCATGACACGGTGACCTGGCATGCAATTGATGACTGGTCACTGCTGCCGTAGGCGACACTGCGGTTAAGGTATAACGACTTCGCTGGACGTGCATGAGCGTGACACGGTGACCTGGCATGCAATTGATGACACTGAGGGTAGAATAGGATTGACAGTAATGTACGGGAAGACAAGGATCGGTTCGCTTGGGTTGAAAGATGCGAGTTAAGACCCTCAGTACCATCGGGAACCTGTGCTTCGCTGGACGTGCATGAGCATGACACAGTGACGTAGCATGCAATTGATGACTGGTCACTGCTGCCGAAGGCGACACTGCGGTTAAGCTATAACGACTTCGCTGTACGTGCATGAGCGTGACACGGTGACCTGGCATGCAATTGATGACTGGTCAATGCTGCCGTAGGCGACACTGCGGTTAAGCTATAACGAGTTCGCTGTACGTGCATGAGCGTGACATGGTGACCTGGCATGCAATTGATTACTGGTCACTGCTGTCGTAGGCGACACTGCGGTTAAGCTATAACGACTTCGCTGGACGTGCATGAGCGTGACACGGTGGCCTGGCATGCAATTGATTACTGGTCACTGCTGCCGTAGGCGACACTGCGGTTCAGCTATAACGACTTCGCTGGACGTGCATGGAGCATGACACGGTGACCTGGCATGTAGTAGGTGAGTGGTCGCTGCTGCCGTAGGCGACACTGCGGTTATGCTATAACGAATTGGGTGATGAATGGGTATGGGTAGAAAGAGAAGAAGTGCGCTTCGGTTGTAAGATATGAGTTGAGTCCCTCGGTTCCATCGACAGCCTGTGCTTCGCTGGACTTGCATCAGCATCGCTGTTGATACGGTGACCTGGCATGTAACGGGTGAGTAGGCACTGCTGCCGTAGGCGACACTTTTTTTTTTTTTTTTTTTTTTTTTAGGCGACACTACGGTTTTGCTATCAAGAGTTGGGTGACGGAGGGTAGGATATGATTAACAGTAACGTACGGAAAGATAAGGATCAGTTCACTTGTACGGAAAGAGAAGGATCAGTTCGCTTGTACGGAAAGAGAGGTGCGAGTTGAGACCCCCTCATTACCATCGAGAACCTGTGCCTCACCGGACCTGCGTCAGCATTGCTTCCGAGTCCCGACGCTGTCACGTGGCGTGTAATGGGTCTGAAGTCAGTTCTGACGTAGGCGACATTGTTTTGCTATCAGCTATCACGAGTTTGAGACTACAAGCGAAGCAACTTTTGCCGCCTCTTAGTGCTGCGCGAATGGCATGGCAAGCGCCGTAGCGTAAGCTGGCAGGAAAGTTGAAGATATAGTCCATACCATGGATAAATTCATGGAGAAAGGCATCACATGTTCACTGTAGGTCTAGACGTAGATTCTTCGGAGTCGGGGGGAGCTGTAAAGTTCTCTTACCACTGGGCTATTTGCTGGGAACCCCAATGAATCTTGGTCCTCCGAATTCTCACACTGAGGAACAATCCAAGATTCGGGTGTTAGAATAGGATTGACTGTAATCGTGTACGGAAAGAGAAGGGGCAGTTCGTTTGGGTGGGAAGGTACGATCATACGAGTACCGAGTTGAGATAGCGATATTTCTTTTTGTATTTCGCAACACGAGTGAGGATTATTTCGCGCATGGGATTCAACTGCTGTGGCATTTTCGGTTAAATTGGTGTCTCTATTGATCATACAGTGACGGTGATGGTCATCTCCTGCCCTGTAAGCTGTTAGAGCGACGGGTGAGTAGCGACGGTGATGGTCGAAGGGTGAGTAATAGCTGCTGTCGAAGGCGACACTGATTCGCTATCATGGAGGTGAGCGACGGGTGAGTAGCGACGGTGATGGTCGAAGGGTGAGTAATAGCTGCTGTCGAAGGCGACGGTGATTCGCTATCATGTAGGTGGGTAAACCGGATGAGAGCTGTCTCTTATACACATCTAGATGTGTATAAGAGACTTATTTAACGACAGAGAACAAAAAAGAGCATTTCGCTTGAGTCAGCGAAGGCTTGATATAATTTATGACAGTTGTGTTGTGTTGTGGACTTCAATTAGCGTCAGGAGTTATCGTACAGGAGGAGCGATCGTACAGCGATGGTTTGATGTAATCTATGACAGCTGTATTGCGACTTTAATTAGCGTCAGTTGTGTTGTGACCTGGGCCACCAGAGTGGCCCGGGACCACTTGCCCAGCCGGGCCAAAAAAAAAAAAAAAGTATATTTATATATATAATTTTAAATTTGGTAAAGAATTTCCATGTGACCTGAGGCGAAGGTTGTTCAGTTTGTTTTTCTACATAAGATCGTTGTTTTTCGTTTTTTTTTTTTTTTTTTTTTTATTGGTTGGGAACTTGGGGGGAGTTGGAAGTTGAATAGGGGTTGGATTCAGAATTCGAAGGGTTCCTTTGAACATCTCTCGTGTCCTTGGGGACATCCATGAAATTGGAACGATACAGAAGATTGATTGGTAGATTAGTAGATTAGTTGGCTACATCCGCGAATTGGGGTCGAACGATACATCCGTTCGTTAAAATTGGGATCGGAACAGAAGAGTGATTGGTAGATTAGTTGGCTGATGATTTCTCGACTGATCGTCGTCACGAGCGTTGTCAATTGCATAATCATTTTGATTTTTTTTTTTTCCCTCTATCGTTTCCCTCGTATAATCGAAGCCTTGGACACTGATGATGTCTACCGTCTTCCGCTGAACACAACCTGCTAGCCTTTCTTTTCCCTGTATCGTTTCCACCGTATAATCGGAGCGGTGGACACTGATGATGTCTGCCGTCTTCCGCTGAACACAACCTACTCGCCTGATAACGAATGTACACAAGCTGTGTTTCCTGTCCGGTTCAGCCAAAATGAGTGTGTGTTGTGTTCGGGGGAAGATGGTAGTAGTTGTTTTGTTTTTTGTAAGGCTGATTCTTTTTTTTTTTTTTTTTTTTTTTTCTGGTAAAGGTCGTACGTTCGTTTTAAAAAGAATTGGATGTTGTGTCTCTCTTTAGGCCTGGGACCATGTCCCACTAGCTCCGTTGAGCTAGTTCAACGTGGGGTTTTCGACCCTGTGTGACTGTACGCGACAAGGGAGATTAAGAGCGTCCAATTCATCCAACGGTCCATTTTTTATAAAAAGGGCAATAGATACTATCTTTGCTTTTTCTTACAAAAAAAAGAGAAATAAATGCTTTCTCTCGTATGCTACTACCCCTACCCTCGCCACTTTCCTTTGAACTAGCTGTCTCCTTTTTTCGAGACAGCTAGTTCAACGACCCTCTTGTTCCCCCAAAAGGCGTTTTTCRARAGAAACTRWACGAGCCTCCTTCCGYTTGCCATTTTTGGAKGGGATTCGGGCAMCTCTTCATTTTCTGCTGTGGAAGCGCCCGTATGCCACTCCAATTGTGAAAAATGAAAAACGAGAACAATTGTATTCCTGCCATTTATAAATGCATTTCTCATTTGAAATTGAATTAAAATGAATTTTTTTAGCTGTCGCACCGTTGAGCTGCCTCAACTAAACGGTGCATATGGGACATGGTCCCTGGTTGTTGTTTTGTTTTTTGTAAGGCTGATTCTTCTCTTTTTCTTTTTTTTCTTTTTTTTTTTAATGTGAAAGGCTGGTAGAGGTCGTACGTTCGTTTTAAAAAAGAATTGGACGTTGTGTCTCTCTTTAGGCCTGTCATCGGTGTCCAGTGGTCATGCCAATCTTCTGTATCGTGTTCCATACGAAGGGGAGGAGGGGTCATCGGAGGGACAGTGTCATGCTTGCACCTTTGGAAGGACAAACGGTGGCGGTTACGGCCGCAAAGAGAGCATCGGGATACGGACTGAAGAGGTTAGACAGTGGCCGCCGGTGTGGCTGGCTTTCACAAGCCATGTGATCTCCTCTCTGGCTGGCATTCACCTCCCGATGCCTAGCATCCAGCCTCTACTTAAAAAAAATAAAAATAAAAATTCAAAATTGTCCATTCCCAGTTTCTTTATTTTTTCTTTTTTTTTCGGTTTTTCTTTTTCCCATTCTCCACCACGGCCTTGGCAGGGACTGCCGAGGGCACCGTGGCTAGCTGGGATTACCTTGTGATGGCGCCCAGTTAGCCGTGGTAGAGTACAAATGGAGACGAGGGCCACGCCAGCAGTAGAGCCCGTCGCAGTTTGAGCTACGAGTCCGTCCAACTTTGAGCTACGAGTCCTTCGGGACATCCATTAAAATTGGAACGATACAGAGAACGGTAATTTTTTTATTTTTATTTTTAAATAGAGAATGGTAATTAGCAAATGGCCCCTGCGCAAGGATGACACGCATGAATCGAGAAATGGTCCAAAACAAAAAAAGTAAAAAAAAAATTCAGCTACGAGTCCCTTGTACAATAGGGTAGGTGGTCGAATATTGGTCGGAGGCGACCCCGTACCTGGTGGCAAATTAGCATGCTAGTCGCGATTGGAAATTCGGGACACGTCAGCATTACAGGCGGTCATTTTTGGACTCCCATGAACGATGGGGTAGGAGGTAGATTATTGGCGGGGGGTGATATACTAACGGTAGTTGATAGAGCAGACCCATAACTGGCACACTCGTAGGTATGGTGGGGCTCGATGAATGTGCATATAGAGAGGGTGAGGCCGAGACGGGTTACACGTCAGCGGCACTGCACAGTCGCATCAGTTACGCGCGCGGGCGGTAGATGCCAAAACAGATCCATCACTGGCGCACTCGTGAATGTGCATATAGACGGCGAGGGGTGATGGCCCTCTATACGCAGTCGTTGGGATGATCTGGTGGATGCCGACAGGCTGGCACGTGGACAGGATGGCCCTGGCGCAGGCGGTCGAAATGCGTAGAGGATCCAGCGGCCTAGCTCAGTTGGTAAGGCACGCAAGTGGCATTCAGGAGGTCTTGGGTTCAATCCCCATTGGCCTCATGTACCTTCCTGGGCATGCTTGGCACCCGCCACCTCGAGATAGCCCGTTGGTCCTCCCAATTGGCATTAAAAAGCAGTCTCTGCCGATGTTCATAGGGGGAGGGGTACTCAGGGAGGCACAGCGACTGGCCACTCAGATGATGCTCGGTCCCTCTGCTACCGGCTGTCCCCTGGCCGGTGCCCCCCAGTGGTGGATCCCTGAAGGGTATCAGGCCACCCTAAGGCTATCAGGCCACCGTGGGCTGAAAAGGCCACCGTTGTCAGATTAGACACAAGATTGAATTTACCTGGGCTAGCTAGTCCGATGATAATACCTCAAGGCCATAGCCCTTAAAAAAAAAAAAAAAAAAAACAAAGCATAGAGGAATGAACGCGTATTATATTGCAAAACCTGCCGGTGATGACGCTGGACCCGTTTTCCAGCAGGTGCAGCTCCCCACCAATAGAGTGGAGTCTTCAACCATAGGGCGCACTTGAGAGGGATGCTCTTATCACCCGCTTAAGTGGTCACCCCAACCATGAAGTTACAAAAAAAATAAAAAATAAAAAAATTGTCCACAGGCCCAAAATGACTTTTGGTTCTAGGCTACCACACTCAAGGCCAGCGAACCAAGTGGGCGCTCCAACTCTGAAATTGCTTGCAGGAGGCAGCACCCGCATTTGTACTCGAGCCCGCATTTGTACTCGAGCAGACTTCGCGTGGAGCCAAAGGGCCTTAATGCACTATGCTAGACACATGAAAATTTTCAAGAGTTCGTCTAGCACTGTCAGATTCCTGGATTGGCATCAAGTGCAGCCGTCGCTGCACTTACTCCGGACTCTGGACTCTCGTGAGCATTCTAGACTGTAGGACATACACTACACGACAGGGAAGTGACGATTTGTCCACACACAGAGACCGGAGGCCAACTCTCGGGTTTGCAAACCGCATGAATGGACCCGTAGGCCTCGTTTGAAAAAACAGCTCCTGCAGGCGGGGACTTTAAAAACTTCAAAAGCTGGTACGATGGGCCATTTCCGACACCTCTTGAAGCGCAGGACCAAGAGCAGTTTTCCACAGTTAGTGCAGCGACGACTCACTCTCGATATTTTCAGAGTGAATCTGACAGCTCTTGAATTGAAATACTGGACGCGGCATCAATAGTTAGTGCAGCCGTGATGAACTCTTGATTTTTCAAGATTCAAGAGTAGTGCAACTCTCGATATTTTCAGAGTGAATCTGACAGCTCTTGAATTGAAATACCGGACGCGGCATCAATAGTTAGTGCAGCCGTGATGAACTCTTGATTTTTCAAGATTCAAGACTAGTGCAACGAGGCCCAAAGAAGCAGAGGCCTCTCTTATTTGACGTTTAAGGTCGAAGGATGATTCATATATGAGAATTGACTCAACTTATTCTCAGTGAACAGTTGTCCAATGGCAGGACGTCCTAGCCCGACCGTCAGGAGGGGCCTTGACGTCCGTGCTCTGAAAAGTCCGTTTTCAACAATATAAAGCGAAAAAAAAAAAAAAAAAAAAAAAAAAAAAAACTGGGTGTCTTTAATTTATTTATTTTTTCCAAATTTGAACAAGAATTTGTTTTATTCTTGGAAGGTGATCAATCTTTATTAATCATCAAAGCCCGGAAGCGGGCCCGGCGTCCCTTACAAAAGTCACTGCAGCTCTGAGCTGAGAGACTGCAGCTTTGAGCTGAGAGAGGCTCTTCGAAAATGACCGCAAAGCTCATGTCACAACTGCGACCCCAAGACAAAAGTTGTTCAGTTATGGTTCTGCATAAACCACCAGTGCTTGGCCCAGATATAGCCCGTGGAAAAAGTAGAGTAGAAATGTTTCTAGTCGGATAAATTTGGGCGCTCCTGTAGTGGCCCGTACGTTTCCTAAAATCGTGGCTTGTTAAGGGGCAGGACTATAAGAAGTAGTTTTTTTTTCCTTCGGGCATTTGGGCTCGGACAGACTGCCCTTGGAGGACGTCCGAGGACGCCCCCCAACTGGTTGTCTGACGGGACAATCCCGGACGGTCAGGGGCCAGTGGGGCCCCGGACATCTGGCCTGGTACCATAGTTTTGGTGTCAAATTTGCACTCTGTTAAACACTTTCCCTCCATTTTTTTCATAGTGGGTACGTTACTGGGCCAGCCAGCCAAAAAGTCATTTTCGTGTCAAAAAATGACATGAAAAGTTATTTAGGGGCGTGTGCCACTTTTTGTCCTGGGGGATTCGTTTATGGGCGGAAATGAACTTGGGACGCGTCTGTGACGCGCAACCTCACGCCCTGTGTCTTTCGTTCGGAGTGCTAGAGGTGTGGAAAAGGGGCCTAGAAAAACAGCAAGATGGGGTGTGCCAAGGATTTTTGGAAATTGAGTGTGGGAACACAGACGGAACTGAAATCCCTTGTGTTGGTCCGATGAAGTGAGTCGACCGTTTTTCGCGCGTCGCAAAATGCGCGCGGGAGTTCGGTGCGAAAGGAGAGAGAAATACAAATTCAATCCAAAAAGTATTGCCGGACTTCCCACCGTGCTACGGCCCTTCGTTTAGAGCGAAAAGGCTTCGACACGCTTCGTGTGTCTCATTTTCGTATTAAATCCCGATGTCGCTCACTGGTCAATTCTGAGTCCGACGTGGAGGGCCTCAGTC